TTTGGAGCCTGTCCTGGAACTAGCTCTTGTAGACCAGGCTGGCCTCAAACTCACAGAGATCCGCCTGCCTCTGCCTCCCGAGTGCTGGGATTAAAGGTGTGTGCCACCACCGCCCGGCAAACTCCAACATTTTAAATCACTCAGGGTTCAATATTGGAATTCATTTATTGATGTGGGAGTGTCGTCTATCTATCTGTTGCTTTCATTGGTTAATTAATAAAGAAAACTGCTTGGCCTGATAGGACAGAATTTAGATAGGCGGAGTAGACCGAACAGAATGCTGGAAAAAGGGAAGTTAGGCAGTCGCCATGATTCTCCTCTCCGAGACAGACACAGGTTAAGATCTTTCCTTAACCTCGTGGTGCTACACAGATTATTAGAAATGGGTTAATCAAGATGTGAGAGTTAGCCAATAAGAGGCTGGAACTAATGGGCCAGGCTGTATTCCGATCTGAGGAATCAAGAGATTTCACCTCAATGACGCTGGTCTTTTCTTAATCTCCACTAATTTCTTAGCTCTGGCTGACCAGCATCAGTTGTCCCAGTAAAGAAAAGGTTTTACTTCAAGGGTTCTAGTCCCTTGTTACTCACAGCTGATTCTTCAGCCCCAACTGACCAAAACCACAGATTCTCAATTCAAAATAGCAAGCAGCCCTGATAGGGTCTTTAAGCGACTCTCAGACTTTCCTCTGAGACTTCACAAACCAGGCCTCCATCATCTGCATTGCTCTTGACATGTTCCTCCAAGCTCCCATAAAACAGCTCACCAAGTTTTGAAAGCTCAATGGCTTTTTTTACCCAAAGTTCCAAAATCCTCCCACAATCCTCCCAAAAACACAAGGCCAGGTCTGTCACAGCAATACCTTATGGTCCTATTACCAAGTCATCTCGGGTAGGGCTACTATTGCTGTGATGGAACACCACTTCAAGCCAGCATCCAAGCAGAACCCTGGCTCTGAAAATGAGACCACCTATGCTTGTTCATGGGACTTTATAGATGTCCTTGTCTTACCAGAACTTTTGACCATTAGGACTTTCAAAGAGTTTTCTATGTTCCCACAGAATAAAGCATGATTTAAACGGCAATGCAGAATAGCTGAAAATTCTTACCTTAAGGCTCCTTCTTTATTTAAAAAAAAAGTATGCTTTGTTTGTTTGTTTTCAAGACAGGGTTTTTCTGTGTATCTCCAGCTGTCCTGGAACTCACTCTGTAGACCAGGCTGGCCTCGAAGTCACATAGACCCACCTGCCTCTGCTTCCCTGAGTGCTAGATTAAAAGGCGTGCGCCACCACTGCCCCCACCTAGCTAAAAGTGTGCATTTTCTATTGTTGCCCATCTAGACAGTTTTAACCATATGCAGGGAAGAATTACTTTAGGATTGGTAGATGGAGGGAAAAGAAGTAAGTATTCAGCACAGAGTCAAGTCACAAAGCCTGACCCTCACAGAGAGGGTAGACAAAAGATGGCTCCCCACAAGTGGGCAATTGGGGAGCCATGGGTACAGTCACCAGCCGGATGGCATGTCCTTGTCTAGGGTAGACAGGACCTCAGTCCTGTGGTGGTTGTTTTATATTTATGTTATGTATAGGCATGAGAGCCTGTGTGCATGTATGTATATATACCATATGCATGCCCCGTGGCCTCAGAAGCCAGAATTGGAGCTGAAGGGAGTTGTGAGCCACCGTGTAAATTCTAAGAAACCAGAATCCTATGCAAAGAGGAGGCACATGGCTTTAGTTCCAACACTCAGGAGGCAGAGGTAAGTGGATCTCTGTGAGTTGGAAGCAAGTCTAATCTACAGAGCAAGTTCCAGGACAGACTGGGCTACACAGAGAAATTCTGTCTCAAAAAACAAAAACAAGCTATATATATTATATATAGAAAGAAAAAATTACATATGTGTATTGTATATATATTGTATATTGTGTGTATGTGTGTATATATGTATATACATAAATATATATAAAGAATAGCTCACTCTCTGATCTTTGAAACGTGTGCAGACCCAGCAAAGCTCAGTCTGTGGATATTCAACCTCAGACTCTGCCCCTCACCGCCTCTGCCCACAGGCCTGTCCTTCAACCTTCCTAATCATCTCAAACTTTCCATTTCTCCAAGTTCGTGTTGCTAGTCAGCTCTAAGAATCTGGTTTTCAAATTTTCTTGTAAACTGACTTCCATTATACTTTACAGAAATGCAAAAATAGGGCTGGAGAGATGGCTCAGAGGTTAAGAGCATTGCCTGCTCTTCCAGAGGTCCTGAGTTCAATTCCTAGCAACCACATGGTAGCTCACAACCATCTGTAATGGGGTCTGGTGCCCTCTTCTGGCCTGCAGGCATACACACAGACAGAATATTGTATACATAATAAATAAATATTTTAAAAAATGCAAAAATAATCCAGAAAATGAAGGCACAAAAACCACAAAAGGGTTGCTCTCCCGATAGCATAGAACAGATCAGAGAGCAGAATGGTGAACGGCGGTCCATGAAACCAGCAGCAGGCTTTCTTCCAGGTCTGGTGGTCACTGAGCAATTTCCTTGGTTTTTCCAGGGGTAGAGGAAGGTGTCAGGTGGCCCAGGGTTCAGACACTTTGAAGAAGGGCATGTACTTAGCCCATGGGGTGCTGTGGCGTGGGCACTCACCTCCTGATTCACTGAGAGTGGATCTCATTGACCCAAAGTTGCTGTTCAGTGCCACTCAGAAGGGGTCCTTGTCCCCTCCACCCAACCTTGACTGCCTCTTTCCCACCGCGTGTCATGGCCTGTCACTCTCTCTCTCTCTCTCTGTCCCCACCCCCACCCCCAGCCTTGATATATGTATGACAAGACAGACCCAAGAAGGCTTGAACTTAAACAGCACATTTACAACTGTATCCCAGCATGCAAACCTTTCTGTGCAAACCTTTCAAGCCACAGGCCCCTGGTCATCACTTGGGGGGGGAGGGGACACTGCAGGACGGCTAGCTTCCCTTACAACTGTTTGTTAGCGCCACTATTAGAATCGGATTCTCGGGTGGATATTAACTGCTCAGCAGCTCAGCAGTTACAGACTCTAGGGCCCGTGCACCCGTCTGATGTCAGGGCAGAAGTGTTTCATAGTTTTATTCGGCAGACAGGAGTCCAATTTCACATGTCATTAACCTAAAAGATGTAAAATAAATAAATAAAGCCTAAATGCTTCTCTGTGTTGAGCTCACCCTCAAATGCCATGCATGTGTTTCATGGCCATAAAAGTGCGTGGATAATACAAACTAATCTGCATCCCTTGCCTCCCTCTGGGATTCTCTGAACCCCATGTTATGTGTGTAGCCTGTTGCTCACAAGGACAGTGACTCCTACTGCCAGACGTCCTGGATGAGGTCCTGGGTGGGGTGTACTGCTGCTGAGAGCTGGGCAAGGCCATGGGTGAGGTGTATGGTGTGCAGAGGTCTGAGTGGGGTGTGCTGCTGTAGATGCCTGAGTGGGAAGAGAGCTCCAGGGCTGCACTTACTCCAGTTTCTTGAAGCGCTCACGGCCCGCGGCCACGTACTTGCCACCGGCCTGCAAGGCATCCAGCCCGAGCACCTGGTGACCGCGCGTGGGCGTGTAGAGCCTCCGCACTCCGAAGGGCACATCCACCTGCTCGGTCAGCTGCTCCAGCAGGGCCTCGAAGTTGGCTACGCGTCGCCGTGAGAACACGAACTTTCGGCCCACATAGAATTGGTCCCCGTTGCGGTACACCAAGATGGTTTTGGCCGGCGTGGTGTCCACCAGGGCATAGGGCCCGCGCGTACCCATGACCACTGATCGCTCACGTCGGGACACGCAGAACCATGCACGGGGACACCCAGCACACCCGCCGAGAACTTACGGGCTCTCTCGGGCTGCGGGCCACAGGCGGGACTGGGCTGCCAGGACGGTGGGTGGTGAACCTGCAGCACACGCTGACGTCCTGGGGCGATTGTGACTGGGCCGGCAGGAGAAGGGTGACAGGAAGCCAGGCAGGACAGGAGGGGACTGGTCAGATGGACATAAAAGATGCAGACAGGGTTCAGAACGCAGACAGGCGAGGACAGGGAAATAGATCGGGAGCATCAGGAAGCTCAGAGGTAACTGGCATGAAACAGAGACCGAGCACACACAGAGATGAGGACACAGATCTGACACACAGAACCAGGGCCGGGAGGATGCAGGAAGAGCTCAGATAGGTAGGTGGTGGTTACAGAGAAAAGGGAGAATCTGGTGAGGTTGTGTTTGCCTCTAATTCCAGTACCTGGGAGACAGGAAGATGTCTGTAAGTTCGAGGCCAGCCTGGTCTATATAGAGTTCCAGGCTAGCCAAGACTACACAGTAAAACACTAGGGAGCTCTACGGGCATCAGACAGGTGACATGATAGGGCTCAAGGAAGAGGAGAAAGAAAAGGTGGCCGTGGGGGTTCAGGAGCGCCCATTCTGACTTCCCAGCATGTTACTGCCCAGTACTCCGCTAATATTCGGGGTCGTTGGAAATATGTCACCTTCTGAGCCTCCTTCCTTGCTTTCATCCCACGTTTGTGTAAGACTCCAGGCTCAGCGCCACACCATGTCAGGGACTGGCTGCCGTGGCCACTAGTGTCCAGTGCTCCAAATGCGTGTCATTTCAGGATACACGGCAGATGGACTGGGACAGGGGGAGAGGGACCTTTGGTAAAGTCCCAGATGACTTTATCTCTTTTCTAAGAGATAACCCTTTATCAGGGATGACTTTGTCAAGAGATGTCCTTTATCTCTTGAATAAATGATTCCAGAAATGCTTTCCTAAAGGCTTTAATGGCCTAAACCAGCTCTCAAAGCCCTAAGGTATGGATTACCTATTGAATCTACACATAACTGGTGCAGAAAATTGATACTATCACCTTTTGTAGTGTTTTTCCAGAAAGTGCTTCTTCAGGAGGCTAGCCACCATTCCTAGCCATGGCCAACTTTTAAGCTACCAAATGGGTGTCAACAGGAGACAAAGGCCAGTTTGTGTGGTGACCACTTTATTGAACACTGAAGACAGCGGGTGGGGACCACTACCATAGATGAGCTGTCTAAAGATTTGCCCGGAAGTTTGGTTTCAGAGAGAACTTCAGCGTGGGCTTCTCCCGGAGGGGTCGCAGCAAACAGATGGAACTGGGATAGCCCTTGAGCCGAAGGCGGCTTACACCCCCATCAGGGGTGATGGTGAGCCTGGCATGGGTGATGACATCCTGGAGCTCCAGGGTCAGGCTGTCCAGCACATGGTTTTGGTCGGGAGAGAGCTGGAAAAGAGGGCAGATGCAAGTCCTTGGAGGAGAACGGTGTGTAACTCCCCCGGTGCTGTCAGCTCACCGTGGCCTTAGGGGCTTTAAGAAAAGGTTTTCTGCAATAATTTGGTCTAACATAAATCTGCTGGTGGGGAAAGCATATCCATGTGACAATGGCATGCATGTGCAAGTGTCGTGGTATTTTTTAGTAATGAAATAATCAAATGAAGAGGAGATAAAACCTGGTGTCTTATAAGAGCAACAATGAATTAATGGGACCTCCTGAAACTGAGAAGCTTCTGTAAAGCAAAGGACACTGCCATTAATACAAAAAGGCAACCTACTGAATAGGAGAAGATCTTCACCAACCCCACATCAGACAAAGGCCTGATCTCCAAAATATATAAAGAACTCAAGAATCTAGACATTAAAATTCTGAATAACCAATTAAAAATGGGGTACTAAACTGAGCAGAGAATTCTCAACAGAAGAAGTTCAAATGGCCAAAAGATACTTAAGATCATGTTCAACTTCCTTAGCAGTCAGGTAAATGTAAATCAAAATAACTTTGAGATACCATCTTACACCTGTCAGAGTGGCTAAAATCAAACACATCAATGATAGCTTATGCTGGAGAGGATGTGGAGTAAGGGGAACACTCATCCATAACTGGTGGGAATGCAAGCTTATGCAACCACTTTAAAAATCAGTGTGACGATTTCTCAGGAAACTGGGAGTCAACCTACCTCAGGATCCAGCAATTCCACTTTTGGGAATATACCCAAGAGATGCCCAATCATGCTACAAAAGCTTTTGTTCAACTATGTTCATAGCAGCACTATTTGTAATATCCAGAACCTGGAAACAACCTAGGTGTCCCTCAATGGATAAAGAATGGATAAAGAAGGTGTGGCACATATACACATTAGAGTTCTACTCAGCGGTAAAAACAATGACATCTTGAATTTTGCATGCAAATGGATGGAAATAGAAAACACTTTACTGAGTGAGATAACCCAGACCCAAAAAGATGAATATGGTATGTACTCATTCATTTGTGGATTAGAATCCATAAACAAAGAACATTGAGCCTATAGTCCGTGATCCTAGAGAAACTAAATAATAAGGTGAACCCAAAGGAAAACATATATTATCCTCCTGGAAATAGGAAATAGACAAGATTGCCGGGCAAAAGTTGGGAGCACGGGGGTGGGGTTGGGGTGGGGGGAAGAGGAGATGGAGAGAGAGAAGGGAGAAGGGGAGGATTGGGGAGAGCTTGGGGGAGTGGGGTGGTTGAGATGGAGGAAGGATAGTTATGGGAGCAGGGAAGAAGATATCTTAATTAAGGGAGCCATTTTAGGGTTGGCAAGAGACTTGGCTCTAGAGGGGGTCCCAGGTGTCCAAGGGGATGTCCCCAGCTAGGTCCTTGGGCAGCAGAGGAGAGGGTGCCTAAACTGGCCTTCTCCCATAGCCACACTGATGAATATCTTGCATATCACCATAGAACCTTCATCTGGCTATGGATAGAGATAGAGACAGAGACCCACATTGGAGCACTGAACTGAGCTCCCAAGGTCCAGATGAAGAGCAGAAGGAGGGAGAACATGAGCAAGGAAGTCAGGACCGCAAATGGTGCATCCAACCACTGAGACGGTGGAGCTGATCTAATGGGAGCTCACCAAGGCCAGCTGGACTGAGACTGAAGGAGCATGTGATCAAACCGGACTCTCTGAATGTGGCTGACAATGAGGGCTGATGGAGAAGCCAAAAACAATGGCACTGGGTTTTGATCCTACTGCATGTACTGGCTTTTTGGGAGCCTGGTCTGTTTGGATGCACACCTTCCTAGACCTGGATAGAGGGGGGAGGGCCTTGGACTTCCCACAGGGCAGAGCACCCTGACTTTTCTTAAGACTGGAGAGGGAGGGAGGGGGAGTGAGAGGAGTGGAAGAGAAATGGGAGGAGGGGAGGAGGTGGGAATTTTTAATAAAAAAAAAAAAACCTGGTGTCATCAGGGTTAGATGAACCCTCACTACACTATTGGCGACCACACCCCTTGTCCAAGACACTCTAGCGCGCATCAGGGTGTCCATTCTACAGATGGGCACAGCATGGCAGCTTTAAGTGTACTAGGTGCCCTTCATATAAGTTAAATGCAAACATTTGCCTGTGTGTGCATGCTCAGCACACGTGTGCTGGGCACCCTTCAGATAAGTTAGTGTACTATAGGAACACTTGCCTGTGTGTGCATGCTTAGCACATAATGGATTTTTGTTTTACCAAAATTTTGATTGTTAGGCATGTGAAAGTCAGAGTCCACCCTCCTCTGTGAAAACACGGGTGTGGCTTTTTACAGTCCATTTATTTACAGTTAAACTGAGCAAAGACTTCCAGGAAAGTTCAATTGAAGAGCTAAAATCCTAGCTACTCAGCAGGCAGAGGCAGGAGGATTACAAGTTCAGGGTTGGCCTGAAACTCATCAAGATCCTGTCTCTAAAAGTTAGAGAGAGAGAGAGAGAGAGAGAGAGAGAGAGAGAGAGAGAGAGAGAGACTATGGGTGGAGCTCAGTGGTAGGGAGATGCGTAGGGGTGGAGCTCAGTGGTAGGGAGATGCGTAGGGGTGGAGCTCAGTGGTAGGGAGATGCATAGCAATTCAAAATCCCAGGTTCCTCCAGAGACTGAGAGTCAGTCCTCAAATTGTACCCCACGAACCTTGGTGACAGGAAGCAGTGGCTTCCACTTATGGGCAGGGAGGATCCATTGGCTCCTGACCATGTCTTCCTCTTCCTGTGTGGTCAGGACGCACCCATCCACTTGGCAGCTGTCAGGAGAATTGCCTGTTGGAGCAAACAGAGACATGGGAACTGTTTCCTTCAGCATAGCTCAGCTTCTAGGATACAGATAAATTAATCAGATCCAAATCCAGAAACGGGCTGGGAAGGCAGTTCTGCGGTAGAATACTTGCCTAGCATGGATGAGGCTCCAAGTTCGATTCCCAGCCCCACAACACAACAAAACTCAAGAACAAGCCAGAGTTCTCTCTAAGCAAGAGGTATAATGTAAGAGAAAGGAAAGAACAGAGTTGAACTGCTTTGTGGAATGCAGAAGTTAGTTGTGCAGTTCCTAGGAATGAGAAACAGCCAGCCATGTCTTAGTTGGATGCATCCATACCTTGAAAGCTGGATGGACTTGATAAGCATCACAGGCTGCAAACTAAATTGCTTGCTTACTGCTACATAGCACCTCTGAAATCACGATGGACCTGGTAAGTACTTGCCTTACAATGTCACTTTGTAATGTGCTGGGGTACAATGGTCTGTACCCTGTCATTTGTATTTTAAATAAATGCTGATTGGCCAGTAGCCAGGCAGGAAGTAGAGGTGGGGCAATGAGAATTCTGGGAAGAGGAAAGTTTCAGTCTGCAGTTGTGATGCAGGTGCAGAGGATGCAAGATATGACTGCCTTGCTGAAAAAGGTACCAAGCCACGTGGCTAACACAAACAAGAATTATGGGCTAATATAAGTCATAAGAGTCAAAAAATCCAAAAAATAAAAAAGAAACCTGAGATACTAGGCCAATCAGTTTATAATTAATGTAGACCTCTGTGTGATTTCTTTGGGACTTAACAACTGCAGGGACTGGGTGGGACAGAAACCTCAGCCAACAGTAAAGTGACAATACAAAGAAATCCTGGGGCTGGAGAGGTGGCTCGGGAGTTAGGAGAGCTTCATAACTTCATTTATCTCCAGCTCCAGGGGATCTGACCCCCATCTAAGCTTTGTGGTTACCGACACAGTCACAGCTACACATACAAATAAGAATCAATAAATCTTCCAAGTGAAGAAAAAGACAAAGAGGAGGAGGGGAAGTTATAATCACAAGCTACACTCGTGGGTGCTGAGCCCTGCCCAACGTTCTGTGCCCCCAGGATTGCTAAGGGGTCTCCGGGTGAAAGAATACAACCTTGAGACTCTCTTCTCTTTGGAACTGCACAGAACCACAGGCAAGGGTCAGAGGCCCTAGGGGAAAGGTCACATGATCTTGTGAGGCATATTCCAAGACAGAGATTCAGAACCCTAGCAGAAGCCCCTCACTGCCTGCGTGCTCCATTAATGTTCATCTCCTGGGATAAACATGTGTGTCTTGCATATGTGAGTCATGGGTGAATGCAGGGAGAACACAAGGAGACTATCAGAGCTGCTGAGCCTGCCCCTGACATGTCTATACATGTGTGTTTACTAACCTGTGCATCCTTGATCCAACTGAACGTAACTTATTATTCTATTGCTATCAGAGATATTGTCATGCTCCCTCCCTCCTTAGTCACACAGTGTCCCCGAAAGATGCCAAGGGTTCAGAAGCCTATTTTTTATGACCTTTTTGTAGCACTGGTTAACAGGACTTACTGTTTGTTGCCTTTGACTAAACTCCTTCATGAAAACAGGTTATGTCATACCAGTCATGAAGAGAACTGGAACTAAATATGCCATTAAACTTCAAGCATACGCAAAAGAGGTGGCATGTCAGCTGCCCCTCAGGATAAGCTTTGCAATCTCCAATGAGGTCTTTCCATGTAGCACCAACCTCTGACCCCCATACAACTGCACACACACACACACACACACACATGCACTCGCGCACATAACACACACACACCACAGGCTAAATAAATAAACTACAGTCAATCAAAAGGGAGTTAAAAATATCAAAGTTTTGAAAATACCCACTAAGGAACCTGACCTTATTCTATTATTGAACCTTCATGTAATCAATATTAAAAATCATGACTTGGAAGTCATTCAAAAAACTAACCATTCAAAATATGAATATAAACTGCCACCATCTTTTACAAAGACAGCTAAACAATCATGATATGCCCAATCCAAATCCTTTGATCACCTAACAGACACTTCTGTAACATCTTCAGTTTTCTAAATATAGTGGCAACATGAATATTTCATAAGAAACCAAGTACAGACTAACCCGGCTGCTGTCCAGATTCTTTTTACTGATGGATCCCCTGTCTGTCTTTCCCACAAGCTCTTTGCACCTTCCAAGGGGAGCCTGCCTCACAGTCACCTGGAATCTCATGTGGGTCACTGGCCTCTCTCTATGTTACTGATCCACAGCCTGGAGAGTGGAGACAAGCTCTGTCCTAGAGCTGCTAGCTCCTCCTTCGCGTGGCTTTCAATAAGATGAGCCACCCAGCCAACCAGGGCTTCTCAAGAGACACTGGGTGACAGAATTAGAGTGATCCTCCCAAAGCTGCATGGCTGAATGGAAAGACCAGCAGCTCAGCGGACTCCCACAGGCCCTGTAGAGCAGACACACCAGCCTTAGGGGTCTGCCTGAGGCTTACCTATATAGTATCTGGTATCAATTTCAATTTGAGTGATGACTCCGGGATGTGCCAGTCGGAACACTGCCCACTCACTACCGGGGATCTGGAGAAGGCCGTTCTCATCACTCTGGAATTCAAAATAAACAAATCATAAGTCAACTTGGATTCAAGACAGCCAACCTAAACAAAGGCAGGAGGAGCTGACATCTCATATGGTGCTTACAGCAAGCAAGCCAAGTGGCGCCATGGTACACATTAGTAATCTCAGAACTTGGGAGAGAGAAACCGGAAGGTCAGGAGTTCAAGGTCAGCCTGGTTATCTGAGAACCAATCAACACACGCACACATACACACTTATACACAAACATACACACACACACACACACACACGATACAATTTCTATGTTAGTAATAAGTTCATGAAGAGGACTCCAGACACAAAGATGCTGATCTACTTAGCCTGTGGGTCCTCTAAACTGTCTGACCTTCCAAAGCAAGGGCTTTCCTAGTTATCACCTATTCTGAAGATGATCAGCCTCCAAGCCTTGTTTCTCCAGAAGGAGGGGTCTGTTTATAGCAGGAAGGACTGGTGGCAGGAAATCAGACCCCAGAGACAGGAGCAGTTGTAAGTTTTCAATGGGGCCCACAAAAAATATGGGGGTTGGTTTGGTTGGATAGAGATTTGATTGAACTGTTGAACTGGCTCTAACATCCTCTATGGGTCACAGGTTCACTTAGCCCATCTCACCCTAGGGAACATGGACCTTAGAAATTATGAAACCAGTGTTTCCTCCAGGTTTTCTAACAGATTCACTCATCTCTTGTATCTTTAATCTGTAGATTCTCGGGGTCCAGCAAGATGACGTGGGAGATGAAGACGCTACCAGGCCTGTGTTCAATTCCCCCAGAGTTACATGGTGGAGGGAGGAAGCCTATGTTAACAATTAATGTTTAGGGCTGGAGAGATGGCTCAGAGGTTAAGAGCATTGCCTGCTCTTCCAAAGGTCCTGAGTTCAATTCCCAGCAACCACATGGTGGCTCACAACCATCTGTAACGAGGTCTGGTGCCCTCTTCTGACCTGCAGTCATACACATAGACATAATATTGTATACATAAGAAATAAATAAATATTTTTAAAAAACAATTAATGTTTAATTAGTAATTAATTAATTATTAATTAAAAAGAGAATGTGAAGTTTAGATATTTTTCTTTCTTTAGTAAATAAATGGGACATTAAAAAAATTTTTTTGACTAGAACAGTCAACAAGGCATGTTTAGTCTTCTGGTAAAATTTAGTGTAATACTACACCAAGTAGAATAGTGGAAATACAGTAGGAAATTTGAAAAAAAATGTAGAAAATAGTAATAAAAAGTTAGACCATGGATTATAGTGGTTTGCTGGTTTTGCTTTGTTTTGTTTTGGGGTGTTGTGTCTGCTTGTGTTCTGAAACACGAGGTATTATGTAGCCCAGGATAGCCTAGAACTCTATATGGCTTCCCTGGTTCTGTTTCTGTTGCTATAACATTCTGAGCAATACAAAGGAAGAGGACAGGGTATAGTGGGCTGACAGCCCCAAATCACCATCTGTCATCTTGGGAAGTCAAGGGAAGGGGACAGGGTATAGTGGGGATAGGGTATAGTGGACTGGCAACCCCAAGTCACCATCCATCACCTGGGGAAGTCAAGGCAGAAGCTCCATCAGGTAGCCACATCACATCCATCCACAGTCAACGGCAGAGAGAAACAAAAGCAGTCATGCTGTCTACTTGTTCAGTGTTCTACCCTTCTCTACTCTTATAGGACCCAGGGAACCAAACCAGGGAATGGTGCTGCCTACACATTCTGGGTCCTCCTCCATCAATCAACAATCAAGACAGGCACCCCACAGACATGCCCACTGGCCATTCTGGTCTGGATAATCTTTAAGATTCTCTTCTCAACTGATTCTAGGTTGCATCAAGTTGTCAGTTAAAACCAGTACCAAAAGTAACCAAGGCTAGCTTTGAACTCCTGATCCTCCTGCCTCTACCTCCCCAGTGCTGGGATTACATACAAGCACATTACACCCTGTTCAAGAGAATCCATAAAGAAGTGCATTTTTCCTCGATGTAAATTGAAAGACGTATTTTTAAGCATTTTCTAGAAAAACTCAGAACTACCGTTTTTGCTGGTCTTACTTCTAACACGGGGGGTCTGTCCAGCCTCCTGGCGGTTTCCCAACCATCTGCCATGGACTTGGGCTTGCCGACACCTACAAGAAATAGCTGGGGTTACTGGAACAATCATTGATTTAATTTGAATGTGGGAATGGATTTGCTGTCAATAAATTTCACATCCCATAATCCTAAGTATCACTACATAAGTTAATTTCAATAGAGTTGATATTTCAGTGAATTCACAGCTGTGGAACTGACTGATTTTTTTTTTCTTTAGAGCAACTACTTAGGCAAAAATTAAGAAGGATCATGACTCTTGCTGACCCACCCCATATGAAGAAGACATCTAGTTACGCCCATTCTCTGCGAGAGTCCCCACCCCCACCCTGGACATCGTTCTGGCCATGCCCAGCTTGCAATGCACAGTCTTCGACACGAAAGCTGGCTCCTGGGTCATCCTCTCACCTATCATATTATTTGGGTGTCCAAAGTGTGCATTACTAAATCCTACACAGACTCCCCCAAAAGCAATGGCCACTAGGTCTACGGGTTCCTTGGAGTCCGATGAGGTCCAGTCCCTCTGTCCAGTACCGTATACTCGGAGGCGTGCGATGCCACCATCTGAGGAGGAAAGGTGTCTGGGTTAGCTGGGAGAAGCTGGGGTGTCGTGTTCCCTGGGGCCTGCTAGCCTTTGCCCACCTCTTTTCCTACTAGCTTTACAAGCCAGTAAACCCACTGCCCAGGTCCCTGCAGCAGACACTGCCCTGCACCTAAGCAGCCTTCCCAGGTCTACTTGTCATTCTTGGCCCTCAGGCACCACAGTTCCAAAAAATGCCTTCATTCGCTTTCTGCACGCTTTTCCTGCCCATCGACTCACCGGATGAATGTTATCATGTCTTTCTTTTCCTTCACTCCACTGCTCTAGTCTTAGCCTGGAGTTGCTTTTTTGTTTTGTGTTCATGGTTTGAGCCAATGCTAACATTGATGCCACAGACACAGAGACTGAAATCCCTGGAGGGCACGTGAGATACAGAGTATGTGGCATCCATGTAGTTCCCAGCATGTGGCAGAGTGCCAGCTTCCTTAAGAAACGGGTCCAGTAAAATCAAAATCAACTGAAAATTTACCATCATGGGCTTGGGGGAAGAAGCGCAGGTGGCTCAGCAGTTAAGAGCACTCAATGGGATCAAAAACCCATTGCCATTGTTCTTGAGGTCTCAGTAGTCCTACTTGTCCGCTATGTTCAGCGAGTCCGGTTTTATCCCAAGCTTTTTCAGACCCAGGCCAGCTGGCCTTGGTGAGTTCCCGATAGAACA